GCAACAAATGTCCTTCAAAGTAGCTTACAACAGTGTACACTGCTTAGGGCTGGGAATCGCAAGGTAATGATATGCCACTCATGATACAATATCATCATGATATGGCAATATACTTGGTATTGTACAATATATCACTATTTTTAAGAACCAAACACATTTTAACAGTATTTATTTGTTAAACATCTGCCTGTGCAAAGTCAACCATTAAAACTGTGATGTCAAAAGCATCACGTAAACAGTTTCCTTTCCTTGAACAAACATCAAAATTGTAGCACTGTCACAAAATCATTTGGTAAAAGGACATACATCAATACAGTAGCCCACGATAACGATATTGTATCACCAAATTTAGTAACAGAATTTTTTAGAATTTTGTTATTTTAGCACATCCCTAATATTGTTACAAATATGAACTCTTTAAACCAGGTGTCTCCAACGTTTTTACTCCGATGAGCTACTTTTGCAAAATGAAAATGCCAGAGAGCTATTAGTTTTAGCGGTCACAAGAAATTGAGTAAATAAAAGAGCCACGGCGAGCCTTAGATGAGGTACATTTAGATATCTCTAAAACATAAACCATTATCCATTTATTAGTGTACAAAGTTAGGCATCAAAATGATACAGTGGTAAAACATATTTAATGAATACATTTTTACTTATTCAGCTCAATATGAAAAATTCAGAAATCCCTTGGCAAGCTACCTGGAAGGGGGTGGAGGTTACATGTTGGAGACCCCTGCTCTAAACTTCTACAACGTCCACAAGAATCAGCTTCAGCTATGTGTAATTTTTAAATACTTCACTGTCTCCACTTTTAAAGGGCAAGACAAAGATAACATTTGCTTGTACTGGGGAACATCTAATGAGTAAAATAGTGATATAAAGGTCTAGTTAAGTCACACCTCAGCAATTATGAACATTTCTTGTTACAAAAATGATCCCAATTAGTGTGACATTGTCTGCTTCTGTATATTAGCCGGAAAGCACGTACAGTGTTATGTATTACGCACAAAACAAAAGTGTTTGGGTGGCATTGGCTTCAGCACCTCCTCTTCTTTCTTCAGAGGTGAGTTTCTCTACAGGCTAAACACACTAATTGGTCGACATGAGTGATTATCAGTAAATGTCAATGGTAAGTGGTCATTATCCAGGCTGTACATTTACTTGCAGTCTATAGGAGAGCTGCTCTTCTCATTACACACAAGCTCTGATATTGGGCAAACTTCTCGCTCTCAGTTAGAAAAACATTATAAATGTTTGCTTTATTTTAGATCCACAAGAAAATAAAACACACTGGCAGCTAAGACACACAGCTCTACTTTTATACTCCAAAAAAGAAAGGGGCAAATGAGACTAATGAACATAGAACAATTGAATTACAAAGACCTATTGTGCTAGTGTCTGCTACACAAGTTATAATCTAGGACACCCGTGCATCATTGTGTTAGAATTTGGATATTTTAAATTGCCATATTCAGCTAAAATGATTTAACAAAAGAAACAAGTCCGCTAAAATGACGGTGCCCACTGGGAACTGATGCAGCACAAACATCACAACAAAGAAGTTCTCGGCACCTCCTATGGATAGCGGCAGATCATGCTCTTAATTGCACAACACCAATTAAGAAAATAAAACTGGAGAAGTACAGAGCAGTGGGGATATGCCGGTGGGAGGTGAAAACATAAGTTGATTCGCAAAAGGGTGTCTTGAAATTAATTGCTCAAACGCAATTTACTCCAAATACAACACAACTAGGATAAAATCTCTAAAAAATCGACTTTAGGTTCCCTTTAAGTAACAATATAAGACTGTGCTAATATCATCCATAAATGTGTTCAAATAAATTAGCCATTAACCTCAGAGTGGACATTATAACTGTGTTTGATATTTGCTGTTCAAAGCCCAGATAAAGAATGAAATGGTGATGTCAGTACTGCGCACAGGCCTGACCCACACTGCTACACCCCTGCGTCTGATCATGTTAGGGGATCAGTGAGCGATCCATTCTCAGTCAATTCTCTTGGTGCCTGCTCTAAATTACATTTCTGTTTTTTAAGGTTCTTCTTTCCCCTCCCTCCCTCCTCTGCAGAGATCCACACCAGGCTGCGTCTGTGATCGAATGGGGGCTGCCTCTGGGGCGATAGAAGCTGAATACTAAATGTCCATGCAGCGTGCAGAAAGCAGTGACAGCGCTCAGTGAGTGGGTGGGAGGAAGGGAAACCCCGCACCAGCTCCGCACACTGACTGATACAATGATGCAGTGGTCACCAGGTTCATATGCCAATTGTTAAGTCTCATAGAAATACACTACTGTGAATCTGCTCAAGTAACAAGCTGCAAAGGGCTTTATTTGGGATGGTGCCAGTGGGATATACCTCAGTCTGTCATGGAAATCCGTGGTTTCTACACATGCCTGGTACCAGCCCTCTCTCGTCTCGGTTGGGTTCTATAAGAGCTTAATACTGCGAGACTGCACCCCTCTGAGCTGCTGCTGTCTGTCCGCCCGCACACTCCAACATAAGGGAATCCCTGCAATCCCGGCTCCCTCCGCCCGCCTTCATTCATTCAGACGTTTACTCTCTAGCCCCTGGCTACAGAGCTGCACAAGGAGCGCACTAATCATTAAGGAGGCATTATCCATAACAATGACAAAACAGCCCCAGCTAATATAGCTACTATTGTCATGATAAGATAAGTATGTCATTTTATGTGTACTGGTTTATAAATAACATCCTCAGGTTTTACCTATAATATAGCCATATTTATATCTATTGCCTTCTTCTTTTTATATGGGGTTGGGACTATATCATTCACTATTTTTATGTGAAATGATCTTTTATTAACAACTTCCTTCACTGCCACGACATGAGTGGATCTCTGCGTGCAGTAGAGGTGAGTAAACAGAGTTAGTTAGAAATGGCACCTGCAAACATCATAAATGACTCATTGCTGTTGCAACACAGGTCCTCACACAAACACCAACCAGGGACCCCACGACACACCAAATCCAATTTACATTTAACCTTCTATGGCTCAAAACAGAGCTGTGTAAAGATGAGTAACACAAAAGTGCTTATGTCATAGAGACAGATGGTACCTAAATGTATTGCAATTTACTCAAGACTCAAAAAAAAATATATAATAATAATAATAAAATTATATATATATATATATATATATATATATATATATATATACATATATATACATATACATATATATATATATATATATATATATATATATATATATATATATATATATATATATATATATATATATATATATATATATAAACATTTATTTTGCGTCTGATCTGTTTTCTAGCTAGATGAAAGTCCTGGAGCATCTTAAAGGTCCTGCCTGAAGTTCTCTGCTCAAGCCTCGTTCAAAGGACTCACTTTCATTATCAGAAACTTCAAATGGATTTTACACTTCAGAGCCTGTCAAGTTTTTTCTTTGAGAGCTGAGCAGCAGCATCAGTCAAATACATAACACGCGATACTCAGAGGAAATTCCCCTTATGGCTAAGATGAGGTCAGTGAAAGCACCAAGTGTACTAAGACCCATCTATCTCTATCAACACAGAGGGGAATCTAATGCAACCTAAAGAAAGCCATACAAGCCTTACAGGAAAATCCCAGTAACCAGAAAACACAAGTTCAGACAAGGTCACCAATTTGGACGCACTATACACTGACCCTTCAAAAAGTTAATGAAGTCTTCAGTCCATTGTGTTACACCTTAAGTTGTGGTCTGTTAGAGAAGGCATGCACGAGAAGGAGGAAGGGAAATTAACGTTTTGCTGCATTGCACCTGCTCAAAGCGCTCTAACTTTGGCTGAAAGGCGCGGGGGAGTCACGTCCCATGATGACCACAGGGCAGATCCTGCTGTCGTGCTAGAACATACAACCCTCAATACACACAAAAAAGAGCAAACAAATACGACAGAGCGGGAGCTGCTCTGGATGTGCCGTATGCACTGTACGCCACTGTAGTAGTGTCCTGTAGCCTGCAGAGATGCGCCTTACCTCTGATAACAGACAGTCGTGAGGAGCAGCACCGGGACCGCGACGGCTCCCTGTCCGGGGGATGCAGAGCTGAATGAGCGCGCGGAGGTGCGCCTCGGCAACATCTGAACGCGGAGATCTACAGGCGGCAGGAGGGTGTTCCCGACGCGAGGGGGCGTGGTGTGTCTGACAGAGTAAAGAGAGGGAGACAGAGAGGGAGAAAGAGAGAGAGAGAGAGAGAGAGAGAGAGAGAGAGAGAGAGAGAGAGAGAGAGAGAGAGAGTTAATAATATGATTTCCACCACTAATCACGTCTGTCATTTTACTTTGTAATGGTTAAAATAGGATTAGCATTGGGCTAACTTAACTTCCCCAGACTTAAATACCAACATACCTTTCTTTAATCGTCTTATGATCATCATATGAGCCACTTAAATTAACCCACTCAGGTAAAGTTGGATGAAATTACAGCCTACATATTGAACAAGATTTAAGAATGGACTTTGTAACTTCCATGGATCTATTAAATCGATCTAAAAATTGAGCTAAACTTCTGCCAGTCGTCTTCCTATCGTTTTGATGCGGTCACATGGTTATCTTGCTAAAATCGTGACGAACAATCTAAGGAAGGACTGTAATTGCACCACGCCCACTTACTTACACATTATAAATTGAGAAAAATAGAAAGAATAATTTATTATGGAAGTTAATCTTCATCATGCTACTGTGCTGGGGGTGTTAATCTAGTCCACACGAGGGCACTATGAAGCAATCATTGACAAAATATGCCAGTTCAGATTTATAGACTACAAAGTGATATTGTCGGATTACTTTACATTTTGACCATGGGCAAGGGGGCACGTGCTTGTAGTTTTTATTTAGGAAAATCTGCTGCCTATGTGAAAAAACAAACAAGCAAATACACACACATATTATACGACACACAGTACCAGACGGTGGCGGTAATGAGACTTCACGGATTTACTTCAGCGTTAAAAACAGTAGAAGAAGTTTTGTGTTCTCTCCATCCGGAACAAAAACTGCTCCAGTATCACCGGCTTCTTTAGACATTAGTGGATTTAAAGTACAGCTGATCATGGAGGAATATAACTCCGGGGAGGAGGTAGTTATGTTTACGTTTTTTTCCCATATAATGTTATATCTTGAATCCTGATGGTGCAGGCTGACATTAGAAAAACATGGGAGCTAGCTACAGAAGAGCCAAAGAAGCTAAATGCTCCTAGTGTGTATATTTCTCCGAGGGTGTGGTCGGAGACGCTTTTTCGAGTTTTACCATTAAATACTACTATTATACTTTGAAAATGATGTTGCCACTAATGCCTTCAAAATGAACATTTGTAAACATTAATACATATGGACATTATCATTCACAATCCTTATAATTGCAGGTCCTGTTTAACAGTGATGAGGCCACTGCACCCATTAAAGAGGTAGGTTTTATTGTGAAACTATGTAAGCTAAACAAATCATTATGATTTAAAATGCATATACATTCATGGCACGGATGCTCTGTTTTAGTGTATTGAGGGAGTGATTGGTGGAACAGATTATAACCAGAACAAAGTCAATCAGTGGACTGCAAGCATCGTGGAGCGCTGTCTAAGCCACTTTGTAAAACAAGGAAGAGCCTTCAAATATATTGGTAAGACTGCATTCTGTTTATGATATTGATAATGAACATTGTGTGTGCTATGCACTCATAATACCAGTGGCTCCATGGTCAGAGCAGTGGCCCCCCAACTTCAAGGTTGAAGGATTCATTCCTACTCTGACCAAGTTGTGTCCTTAGGCAAGACACTTAACACAACTTGCCTAGTGTGAAAGTGGTGTGCGTGCGTTCGCGTGTGTGATTGGTGGTAGTCGGATAGGTTGCCTGTGCAGTGAATGAATAATGGTAACAGCTTTGAGAGGCTTTGAATAGTTTAAATGTAAGTGTAAGACATTATTATTATTATTATTATTATTGTTAATATTTTTTGTCACCTCTTACAGTAAACTGCACCATAATGCAGAAGAGTAGTGCCGGTCTACATACTGCAAACTCTTGCTACTGGGACACTGCCACAGACGGTAAATAATTACCACTGGGGATGAATAAAGTAATTTATCTATTAAACTGACTAATATATTTTCAACTAAATTATGACTTTTCCTATAACTCCAGTCCAAGGATCTTAAAATTAAATGACTGGAGATATTAAATAAAATAAAAAATAAATTATAAAAAATAAATTATTTACTAACTACACAAAAAAAATTTTTAAGCACATGTACTCATAAATTATCTTAATAAAGTCAGCTTTATGTGTAATGTGTATATTCCTGATAGCTTTCTAAATAATAGACTCAACTTGTCAGTAAAGCTTTGCACAATAAGCTCATGGCCTTTCCCGTTGAAATGTGTTTCAGGGAGCTGCACAGTGAGGTGGGAAAACCGCACCATGTACTGTGTGGTCAGTGTCTTTGCTGTTGCTGTGGCGTAACATCACAAGACCTGTTTTTCTTCAACTTTTATTTTGCCTGAAGCTAGAAGTTTAAAAAAGCTCAGAAATTACAAGGATCCTTTTACAAACTGTCGCGGAGAAGACAAAAGACAACCTAAAGAGACTAATCAAAAACTCCTTTGTAAGCTCAAGAGTGGACTGATTCCTCCAGCCTATTGCAGTTCTGACCACATTATTGCCATTTCATTCAAGAAAAGAGAAGACTAGGTGGGTTGGATTTTCCACTTAAGTAGTAGTTATGTTTCGTAGACTGAATAATTTAATAAAAGTGTGTATTGTTTCGATGCCAATTCCAGTTTGCTTTATTTAAATGTTCATATTTGAAGGGTTTTGGCAAAAATGTAAAATTATAATTTATTCTGGGACCACAGTACTTAATAAAAAGTGTATGCAACACTTGTCCCAACTGTTCAATGCGTGAAACTTTTTTTTTTTTGCCCACTAGATGGCAGGAGAAACTAGCCTTCAAGGTAGAAGATTTTTTTATTGGCCAAATTGTAAAAGAGCATGTTAAAGTATGTTAAATTAAAATTCTTTTACTTTGTATTTCAGGTGACAGGTCATGTTGAGAATCGTTTAAAAAAAAGACAGACATTTTGCTGATATAAATATAAATTTATTTTTGCGTTTATTTTAAATGTTTTTATAAATGAGAAATACGTGTGCAATAAGTTTTCTTGTGGCATTTTTTTCTTTTGATAACAAACATCAGGAACTTTAACATGATACCCGAGGCTGCAAAACCTCTGCATTTACATTTCTCAAACAATGCCCCTCACACACTGCAGTTAAAGGTTAGCTGAGGCGTGACACATCTACAGCTGTGTTAAGAGACCAGTGACACATGAAAACATTACATTTATGAATACACATTTACATCGACGTGCAAAAAATTGAGCTGTCCACATGCTTCACAGTAAAATGTGTGGTGTGTCGACTGCACTGGCATAGTACATAGAACATCAAGTTAAAACTCTCATTCTGCAAAAATACACCATAGAAGCAGCATGTTGTAATGATAAAGCTATTATTTAGACATTTTCTTCAAAAGCTGATTGTTTGCAGCCACTGGCATTAAATACTATTCACTCCAGTTCACTTTGTTCCACACATGCACACCTCCATGCTTTATAGATATTAATATGATTAGTTTGATCTTGTGGCTCACTGTGATTTGAATAATGCAGCATAAAAGTACAGTGTGCAGTGACCCCAGGCTTTTGAATTTGCAAAATGATTCAAGCCTAGTTACCTAAACTTTGTGCACTTATTCAGCCGTAGCTGGTAAACAAACTTCGTTAAGGACACGCTTCCTCTTTCCAGGTTCAGATGGAAAAAGTATAATATGGCTTCTAACATGGAGATGATTTCAAGAGCAGACTCTGTGATCCATGTGGCATTTAAGAGTTTAACCCTCACGGTCTCCTCGGGGTCAGACCCAAAAATGTATTTTTCTCGCCTGACGAGAAAATAAATTTTTGGGTCTGATTGACCCACTCCAAGAGGAATCAGAAGAAGGAAGAAAAAAAATTTCTTCAGGTCTATGACCCCGAGGAGAGCGTGAGGGTTAAGATGCATGGTTCAAGTTTTTGCTATAAAACAGCTCATGAGTGGCTGTACTAATTTCTTAACATCAGCCATGCGTTATGCTTATGCAGCCAAAGGAACTGAATGAGTGGAAGTAAATCCATAATGTATGCTAGATAGCTTGCAGAGTTATGAAAAACTATGCTCTTAATGTGTGCCATTTCATTCTGGAGTGATCATTATTTGGAAATACATTTGTTCTGTTCTGCTCTATTGTTTTTCTTCAGCTTAAAGTGATCATGCATTGCAGGGCTCAGTGTAGCCAGCGTCGCCATTGACGCCTGTGTCTGTGATAGTGGCCATGTCATTAGGACTGTCATAAATGGTGTCGTTGAGAATATCGTAGGTTGTATCATTTGGCATGTCTTCGTACGTATCACTGGCCCGGTCACTGGGGGGCTCTTTGCAGTGGGAGCTGGGGGGCTGGAGCGCAGCTTTACCTGTGGTCCTGATGGGTGATGGAGCTGTGTCACACATAAAACAGAGCACAGAGGAGCAGTCCCAAAGTCCCTGGCTCATACTAGAGGAGAAGAGTCTTCGGCACGGGTGGCAGAACTGATAAAACACCAGCATGAAGAAGATCCCTATGGCGTAAGCTACAAGCAACTGCAGCACCAGCAGTGGAGCGCAAATGTCGCTGTAGACGTCCGTTCTGAAGATGTACCACAGCAGCAGCAGTGAGGCGTTCTCCACAAAGCGCAGCATGTAGTAAACAGCCATACGATACCAGTTCTGCGATTTGTTGATGAGGTCTGGGTCGCTAAGTTTAACTTGCACCGCAGACCAGCAGAACATGTTGATACCTGCGTAGAGGAAGGTGAGCAGACAAAGCACAATGGTGGTTCCTAATCTGGACAGAGTTTTCTCAATATTCTCAGGGAAAGGAGAGTGGCTCCACCAGAACAGGATCCAGGGGTAGAGGGAGAAAACAAGGAAGTTGAGCAAAACCACGGGCAGCACCCAGAGCTGCAGCACAGAACTGAACAGCACCAGCACCACCACACGAGTGGCAATCTCGAAACTCCTCCACAGAAAGATACACATGTACGCCAAGGGCCGCACGTCCACTTCGTAGTCGTCATATTTGATCTTTATGGCAAGAATATTACAGCGCAGTGCTCCATAGACTATAGACAGTAGGCTGATCACCATTAATGTTCCTGGAGAGAGAACAGACAAAACCAACTGGTGTGAAATAGAACTGTCAGAGTGAAAAATCTCCTCATGCGTTTGGACTAAGCGCCAGTTCTTTAAACTGGTGTCTGACTTCGACCTAATTCATCTGAAATGTGTATAGACACATGCTCCCACACAAAGCTCCACGCATCACTGCACCGACTGACCCCAGAACAGCACCAACAACTCTTTGAGTTACATAATAATACCACATTGACTCATGACAACACTGCCTCTTGTTTCCAATATGTCACTGAGCGATTCAGCCCACATGACAGAGGAGCTGTGGACTGGCAGTGGAGGAGGACAGACGCTCATTTCAGACTAACTCGACTGAAAATAAACAAGTTGATTCCTCACCAGGTTTTGGCTTAAAAAAAAAAAAAAAAATGATGTGTTTTGTTCCCAGTATTTTGCATTATGAAATCTCACCTCTGCCGATGGACACGCCCCTTTGCAGCACACAGATGTAGAGCTGGAGGGTGAGTTGGGGTGCAGATCCGAGGAAGGCCTGGATGACAGAGGTGCGGGCGAAGGCTGCTCTGTGGGTGAACAGTTTGCCCTCTGCCTGCCCCACCTGCCGCTCCACCTCCTCAGACTGCCCCCGCCGTGGCATCTGTTTCTTCCTGGTGATGCTGACATAGGGCTCCTCCACTCTGCCCACGCTGCCATAGATGCAGAACGCCTCCAGACACCTACAGCACAGAAAGAGCTCAAGAGGATTAGGAAAATATATAACGGACAGCTCTGTTCGAACGTTCAAAGTTCAACTCCATCTGAACTGTGCAAAAATATCAATATATTGTGATTATCGATGGCTGCTGTATTGATATATCTGCAATATTTTTTGGTATTTTTTGTAACAGTCCTACAAATTTAGCTTATTTAGAGGAAGAAGACTTGTTTATGCAATACACTTGACATATCTCTGTTTTCATGATTAAAATAGGCATACTTTATATTAACTTTGCACAAGTAGCAGTTTAATAAAGAAATACTGTTGCTAAAATGTGTTTGGTTCTTTAAAAAAACAGAGATATATCACAGAGTATCGTGATAATATTGTATCGTGAGCCATTTCCAGTAATTTTCCTTGTGCATCAATAATGTCTAAGTCTAAGTATCAGATTTGGTAGTGCAATTTCATAAAATAAAGTAGTTTATCAGGCTATCAGTACATACATTAAATGATATTCTCCTCAGTAATGTGACATTTTGGTTTAATGCAGTTTGAAAAAATGTGTATTGATCATTTAATTGTTGACAAAATACATAATGATTCAACTGACAGCCATATGTTTTCTTTTCACTCCTATAGGGGATTTCACAGCATCACTACAGGTTTTGTTTACATTATAATAACTTAAATCTAACACTCATATTAACAATAAATAAATAGTTCCTCTTAATGAAATAGTGTTGAAACTAATAAATTGTCAATCACACCCACCCTTAAACTCTGGTCTTACAGTAACTGCTGACGTGTAGAGACCTGCCATCTGTCTGACATGAGAACACGATGGAGAGAGAGGAGAGGTCCACCCTGCCGAGCTGCACTTGTGTCAATAAATTACAGGCCAGAAGATTTATGCTACTGGGTTTAGAAGTGTAAATTATAGTTTAGATATAAGATTATTGTGCTAATGCAAAACAAAATGCATGTTTGTTTACAGAAAAGAAAGATTGTGGTGTTATCTGTAATCTGCTCAATGAAGGCAAAACACTTGTGCTTTAGGGAAGTGAAATTGCTACTTTGGCTTGGTAAAACTCTTATAGCTCTATATTGGCTCGACATTTAGCTTTAGTACTTATGTCCAGTGGGGAACAGTTTGGAGTTAGTCAGCATTAAGAGTGTATTCTAGGGACAGTGCCCTTATGGGAGCAGTAAATCTAAAGCAGGAGGGCTGATCGGTAGGGCAGTGTTGTTTTGGCAAAGGAAGAGAGAGCAGAGAAACCTCCAACTGTGTTGTGAGATAAGAAAGCAGCAGTCACATGTGCTATTCTTAGATGGGCTCTTGACTGTCAAAAGTGTGTCCGGGTGTGCACGGGGCCAAGCCGGGTCAAATATCAAAGAGGAGCCTGATTGTGAACTTGCTGCTCCTCTGGGTCAAAACTAGGCCTGTCATAATAATTACTAAATCAACTTATCTTTCAATATATGAAAGCTGGAACAATATTTATCATGTGTACATTTTCTTTGCACTACTGGGAAATTTTTGGTTATTTTTTTAACTTCTATGACTTATTACAAATGCAAACTAAGCACTAAAGTGTTTCATTCTGCAGTTTATTTGCAGTTTTTTTTTTTTTTTTTTTTTTTTTTTTTTTACAGTACTGTACATTTAGAATAGTTTTTGTGGTCTAAATGTGCTCTTAGGTTTTTGTGTCAGTGGCATAAATTAGTTTCAGTATTATAGTTTATTGTCTATATTTACTTCAGCAATATATCACATTTCAGTTGTTTTTTATTGTAACAGGCCTAGTCAAAACACACACAATGTTCTCACTATAACTACAACATACTGAGAATTCTGTTTTGAAGCCAACCTTATCTCCACTGAATATATTAAATGATAGGCTGTTGATAATTCAAGTGCACATCTGGACATTTGGATTGTGCTTGCTTCACACATCACTGAATTTTACAGTACAAAACAGGGAAGAGCTGAAGAGTTAAGTGCCGTACAGTGAAGGTAACAGTAGAACTTCTCAAGATGCACTTTCCACCATCTTTAAAACCAATTAGCTACTTAAACAGGAAACATCGTGTCTCAGCAAACAAAGGCTTCTGCTTTCCGGTTGTTTTGGTCTGAAATAGGCCTACAGTAGATCTATTAATTCTACTGGCAGCTGAAACACAATGGTGATCCTTTACTTTGCTTTATTTTATTTTATTTAAATCACCACTTTGAGAAGGTAAAATTTTATTTTTCAGAAATACCAATACTGTTCCCTGTTGCCCGGTAATATAGGTTACTAGTTCATGTAGCCCTGACAGGATTAGACTTATGTCTCCTATGGCTGGTGGTCCATCCAGGACATCGCTGAAAAGCCAGTTAAAGCATCTCCACCACGGCTCTGTTCAGCACATCGCTCAGCTTCATATTGTGACTTCATGGGCTTTGAGACAGAGCAGTCATGATGAATTAACCAGTCACTCCAGGCCCTGTGCCTTTAGTCAGGTGACGTCCTATAGTGGGAATGACCTACTCCAATCACAGTTAAAATTGGAAACATATCGACGAGCTGCATACATTGATCATAAGCTGTGGTCCCTGCTGTGGATGGGTCTCACTCATGGAGTTTGACTGCAGCAGCCAAGCGTTTTGTGCATTATGCATTGTGAGGTGGACAAAAGGAAAATACCCGCAGCATTTTTGACAGCAGTAAGCGGATTATGGCCATCAGGTCGGACATGTTTAACGAGTGCCCACGCGTGAACGCGACACCTGTGGGCAATGACACTCCAAACACTGACCTGACGATGGGTCCCAGCTGCAGAATGTGCAGCAGGAGGATGAGCGGTCTGTCCCGGCTCAGGTCCCGGTGGATGAACGTGAGGGTGAGCTGCACGAGCACGGAGGGCACGAGCGTGAAGAGGACCGTGAGCCCCTGCCAGATCCTGTCCCCTGCGGAACGGTACGTGGAGCTGAGGTACAGCGCGGCTGTGGTCTCGGCGGTAAACAGGGACACGGACACAAAGATGGAGATGGGGAGGCGCATCCTTCACTCACGCCGCCATTTGGGGTCCACCGAGCAGACCCCCGTGGATGGGACTGCGCTGTGTCGGACACACGCGTCCCCTATCGCCACGGTTCATCCGCGCTGCCTTTATGACAGTCAGCGGGATGTTTTTAGTGAGTAGCTGACCACGGGGGGCGCAAGTGAAAACACTCTTCGGTGCGCAGGCGCAAGTGTCCTGTCTGAGAGCTGCATGTTTGTCACTTGTCAGTGCTGCTGGTTGTGGAAGTCGTAGATAAGGGTTTTTAGACCAAAGTCCTGAACTCCGTCATAGGCCAAGTGTCATTCATCAACATCTCATTTTGACTTTTTCACTTTCAGAGAACTTCCTGAGTTTGACCAATCACAATAAAGGCTACAGGATTATGAGTGCAAATGTATTACTGTGTTATAAATGAAAACAATCGACTCAGTGCTGTGCTGAGACACTTTATTGACATGATTTGCTGTGGACAGCTGTATAATAACTCTGCACATACAGATAGCATAGAAATGTCTCCACAACAGGCACAAAAAGCACTGGGAAACTGCTTTGGTTTGATATTCACAGACTTTAAACCACCGCCAGTCACAATGCAGAAATATTGTCATATGTCATTTGCCTGGAATCCAGAACATTTCTCTTTGAGATGTCACTCTGGACTTGCAAATGTTTCATGTCCCTTTTACATTAGCAACTTAGAACTATCCAAACACTGGATGATTTTTAATGTAAGGCCTCATTTTCACAAGAGCTGTGCCATCTATGCAAAATGTGCTTCACATATTTGGCTTGCAACAGTAGCGTCTTGAACAGTGAGCTGGAAGATAAAAGTGACTCTGAGCATTAAGTTCACCACAAACCTATTGCACCATCATTTTGCACAGGTAACAAATAGTACAGGGGAAAAGTCCCTATATCAAATACATATAAACATCAACAGACAAACACAACAGCTGGCCTCTGTTATACCTAATATCAAACACAACAGTTTTTATTTATTTATTTATTTTTTTCTCACAATATCTGTTGTCTGTAGTGCACATGTGTTGGTCTGGTCTTGTATCAAAGTAACTGCCAGAATTATGAAACTATCACTATCAGGACAATAAATAGCCTAAGTATTCAATGATTGTGTCGTAGGCTGTAGGCGGTGCTGAGCTGGTGAAGAGCTAGAAACACTTCAAAGGCAATATGTGGCATTTTCTTGTTTAACTCTTTTGAGACTGGGGACTTCCTTTTGTTTTTTATGTGCATGTTTTCTGACCTGAGAGCTTCACCCAGATACAGCATTTTACTCAGAATACATTTAGTGCAAATAACTATTGTAAAGTCAAATGATGCCACAGAAATTCTTCTTACAATTAACATCGTTTTGAAACAACACAACTTTCTGCTGTAACATTTGGAATTTTCTTTTCCCTAAAACCAACCCGGCCACTATTTATATTGTGAGAACATTCATAACCATCTCAAGTACAAGGACTCTATGTGCACCTTTACATATAATTGTGATTTGCAGTGCCCAATATTGTGGTGGTTCAGTATTTTCAGCAATCCTACCATTTTTATATCTTGCTTTTTGGTCTAATAAGGCTAACGAACCCACAAAATCATTAAAATATTACTTAAATTTTTGGTTATAGATCAACAAACTGTCTCCACAGCTCTTCAAATCATGTATTATTACATATTTTTGGGTAATTTGAGGAGCTTTCCCAGTAATATTCACATAATATTCACAATCTTAAGCTATTAGAGCAGACAGTTACAATATCAAATAGCTAGCAGCTCTAAAATGTACATTGTTTTTGCTGTTTAATTAATAGTTTGCAGTTAGGAAAGCTATCAAGAACCAACATTCAAACCAAGTTATGTAGGGGTTTGTAGCTTTGTGAGATCCAAATACTAGATAGTGTTTCTTGAACGTACTGGAGAGAGTATTAGCCTACTTTTGCATTTTCATATTCACACAAAGACGCTGAAGAGAGGGAATTCCGACTGGTCCGGCTGCAGCAGGTCCACCAGGAAGCAAACGGTCCCAGAGAGGCCTTCAAACAGACTGTAGATGCTGGTGACTGAGCGTGAGCCTGCTTTGAACTCCTCAGTGTAGATGAACTCTGCAAACCTAGAGCCACAGACAAAAAAATTGTACCAACAATCAATGTCTTACATGGCTAGTAAATGCACTTGAATAATCAGGTAACACAACAATGGGACCTGATTACAATAACACATCATTTTGAATTTTATTATTATATTTTTTTTATGAATAGGTGGTTTCACAAGTTTTTCTTCTTTCCATTCCTTTTCGATGAAATGTGTTTTTCTGTTGTGTACAATATACTAGTATATGTAGTATGTGAATAAGTTTTTGTCTGTCTTGTCACAAACTCAAAACAAATAAAAAAATAATACATTTTTGGCGTGTGTTTGCATGCACAAAAGAAATCTGATCACCAGACATGTATCTGTTAATCAATGGATTTTTAGGGTTTGTAAGACAAAGTATGTTGAATTTCAAAATATCTCTTTTCAATCTTTCCTTCTTTCCACATATTCCCCTGTTTTACTTCTGTCTTTGGCCAATTAGCTTGCCCTTTTTCATAATATCCCTTATCAAAAATTTTAATAACAATAAATACACTGTAGTCTGTAGTCTGGGTGTTTCCTTCTTGCACACATATTTAATTAATTAATGAATAAAGTGAATGATGAGGATGTCTTACCTTTGAGCGCGGTAGATGTATTTGGAGTTTCCTGTGAGGCGGTAGAGGAGGAGGAACACATAAGCACTGCCTGCTATACCGTGACAAATCCCTGGACCTTTCTTCAGCAGCCCCTTCTGCCACACCAGCTCCCCACTGCGAATACAAGTGTCCAGGTACTGAGGCTTTTTATTGATCAAGTACGCTTTGGCAAAGAGGTACGCCACACCTGCAAGAGACACCGAGACCTGCTTTTAGCTTCAGATCACCTTTAAAGGCCCATATTACTCTCCTACACTCTATTCCACCTTGTGATACTCCTTCACTGAAATCATTTTAATCATTCATTTGAAAACTACAGCTTGATCATCATCACACGGTGGACCAGAGCGTTTTGAGCACTGGAGATGTAGACTGACATATAATAATCCTTTATGGATTATTCAGACATTTGTGAATGAAACAAAACAGTACTCCAGGTATCTTTTGAAGGAGGTAGCAACAGTATAACATGGCTTAAAGCTTGTGTAATATAGGACCTCTAAACACAAAATCACCACATAACTACACTCTTTTGTAGTGAGTGGCTGTGGAAATACCTTCCAAATGGCATTGATAATATTACAACTGAGACACTTGGGAGTAACACTGTAGTCTTTGTGACCCTCAAGGACATGATTCACATATCCATTCAGCAGTAACACTACAGGGACATGCTTGTGTGTTGATTGGTAGAACAATATGTTATACAACACAGATGAACTGGGATAAATGAGCCAAATGAACTGACAGAAAATATTGTTATAATTATACAAAAACATTTCTTCCTGATTCCTGAATATGTAGGCAAACAGTGGTAAAGAGGTGATTATATCAGTGCTGTACATTAAGTAAATAGCGTGAATCATTGGAATTAGTACATACATCCTTCAGAAAGAAAACAAACAATATAATGGCATAACTAGAGTACCAGGTGCTCCATGACACCAATGCACCAGCTCATTCTCCCTCTCGATGATGGCTCCGAGCTCTGCGGGCCAGTTACAGTTCTGCTCCTGGTTCATGAGGAAGTCCACGCTCTGCCACACCAGGTCCTTCTCTGCCCCACTCAGCATGTCCTGGTAACTCAGCAGCATCTGCAGCACAGAGGATAGGCCATGGGCTGCACCTGGACACAGACAGAAAGACTTTAAGATCCAAGTCTACACCTCAGCACTACCACAGGCAGAATAAAGGTCACTGCCTCAAGACTCTTAAACTTTACTCTTCCTGTCAAGTGGTACCCCCAGACCCAACTACTAGAGGCATATGATGTGCATAACAGACACATTTTCAAATACTAAATATAGCACAACTTTATTATTTGGATCTTAACACCTCACTCAAATGTGCATTTGTGTAATATTTGTACTGTATCTATATTTTCTTATTATTTCTACTGTAGATAAGCTGATATGCTGAATGCACAGTAAAGACAAAACAATTCAGCACAGTGACTTTATTACTCTAAGTCCTGTGTGGTATCCCTTGTCTATGACATTGTGTGGACCAAGGGAACAAATGTCTGTTCTATTGTCAGATCCAATGACAGATGCTCTTGACTCTGTGTCTGAAGGCACATTCACCTCTGAGGCCAGTGCGGTCACTAGACTCTCATCCACTATGTAACATGTAATGGTGTACAGGTGTCCTGTGCTGCATACACGGCTGGATGGAGACTTCCAATAATGTTCATGTCATAAAAATAATCAAGGTTCTTAAGTACACAAATATTTTAAAATGTATTTTTATATTGTAGATTAAAAAAATCCAATTTAAATACTACCCTTAATTTCTAAAGGTATGCTGAGTAAAACAGTAACTTTATTCCTGAAGTAATGCAGATAATCCATCTTCCACCTTGTCAGTCTCCATTTGTAAACTGTAGAGGCTGTGTGGAGCATGCAACCACGCTGTTTTATTAGAAAAGGAAACCAGTCGAGGCAGTGGTAAACAGCAGCACAGAAACTGGGGATTGTTCTCCAGATTGGGAGGTTCATGGTCAGAAGAACCTCACCGAAGACAGCCTGTGTCTTGGTTTATAGAGGTAGTGGTGGGAAGTATTCAGAATACTCATTTTGTATTCTTGTATGCCAGTATACTGCACGATATTAGAGAGAAAAATAGATAACACTGCTCTTATGATGAGTGCATCTGCAATTTCTCCTTCTACAATTAGTGATAGGAAACACAGAACAAGCATTAAGTTGTTTTTCATCCTATGTTGTGTCTTTACACTATAATTTAAATTCTATTTGGTGTAAAAGTTTTCTGTGTTCAGGATACATTATTTTTTAGTGATCCTCTTGGCCAGAGGTCACCTAATCTTAACACCTCTGTATATTTCATACATAATCATAAAGCCTGCTTGCGTAACATAAATCGGTTCAAATTGTTTGATCTTACCGAGGTACTCAGTCC